CACCACCAGAGGAATGACGCCAATTTTGAATCACCCCGTATAAAAATAATAATATGGGTCTATATCCAGGATTTTGACTCATAAGGTGGGGTCTGACCATGGGGTTTTGACCTAAATGTGGTTGAGGTCTACCTCAAGTCAGTCTCATCAGTCTACTGAAAGATGAGTCATCAAACACAGCCAGCGATGTCCGCTTGTCTTGGAAGCCCTTCTCTATATTAGTCGTTATTAATCTATTTGTAGTTACTAAAACCAGCCTACGAAAATAACCGGTGCAATCAATTATGGAGGACTTTATGGAGTAATTTATAGCAAGCGCACATGAGCGCAATGGGTCTGTGGTCCTCAGCATAATGTCCTTGCTTTGATGATTTTAGAATGACAACAATCCTGGTTCTCTTTAAAAGTTTCGGGAGTATACTTATTTTTAGGGCGTCGCTGAAACGGTTTATCCCTTTTATAGTGCGAGGGGAAGCATGTTTGCTGAATTGTTGATATATTTCATCCAAACTTGCCGATGTCCCAACTTTAACATCCTTTAGGGGTGTTAAAGTGCTTGTTGGGAATGGACTGAAAAAGTTCATCGAAGCGGTTTTGTGGTAATTTTTTTGCGAAAACCTATTCCAGTTAGCCTTTTTGACATTCTATCGTGGTAAACTGGTTCAGAACCCTCCCACTACTGTTAAAGGGTAATCCTTTATTATTAGTGGTTGTAAAGCAGCTATATCTGACTGAAAGAAATGTTCCCATATCCTTCACATCGAATAGTAAGAAAAATATGCTCTATCTCAGCCCCTTCAGATACCTTGGCCTCATCACCACTTGTGCCTATATAGCCCCATTTTGTATTGCTGCTGTTGAAGTCCTCCATCAATATTTTCAGGTATTGGACGTCTCAGATTGAATCGTTTAGCCATGGTTGTGCTGAGATTTGCAAAGTTTTATAATTTCGGTGTTAGCAACTTTTACACGGTCGACGTATATGTTATCGTCTGTTCGGGTTTTGATATTATTATCTCTTCTATATAATTTTTCATAAAAGTCGCGGTACTATAATTCGGGTGATACGGAACAGAAGCCAGCGTGAATCTAGGAATACCGCATCTGGAGTTCAGGTGATATTCTTCTGAGCAATGGGTTTCTTGTAATAAGGCAACATCTACTTTCAAATTGCTACAGCCAATCAAATTATATTCTAGAAACATCCACCAAATTATTTTACTTAGTAATTAAACATGAAAAATTGCCCTAAATTTAATACAAAAAAAGGTCATAAACACAATGCACATATACACTTGTGAACACGGGTCTTGGAATGATTGCACAGAACATAGCTGATTACAACAAATACAAAGAAAAATTCTTCCGCAAAATAAATTCTTACATCTACAACAATTTGTCACTTTTGCCCATTATTACATCGGACTAATCGCTCGTATAAGGCGACATTTCATGCATACATTTATTTACATATATGTATTTATTTATTATTCTAGAAATTATGTGTATACGTTTCTCCATTTTCAAAAATAAATCTTTACTGACATTATTTTGTGATAGAAATAACTGGCTCGCGGCGACTTGAGAGCTTGTTAGACATGATAAAAAGTGGCCGCTGTACGATTTTCAATGAAAGAAATAATTTATCAAATACGAAAAACAACATTTTTAACATTCACGAAGTTAAGATAAAAAATCTAAAAATGCGTTTGCCTGGTTTGTCACCAGTCTCTATCTTTGGTAAATGGCATGCTATTTTTTAGGTAATGTTTTATTTTTAACCGTAAACATAATTTAACTCCCGCTCAACCAACAAGCCAGCTGATTTCCAGCCAAGAGACTAGGAAAGTGCCGTTGCAACCAGTGATGTGGGTGAAAACAAATAATTAAGATGAACATATATCAGAAGTCAGCTTTTGCCTACATAGAAGATCCAAACAACATACTTATAATAAAACCTACAAATGACAAGTATAACATGAGTTTTCAAGAAGTTCGCTTTTAATCTAACAAGGTGCTACGAGCTAACCATAATCAAAGGTCAAAGAAGCAATTGTAGTGCCACCACTCAAATTTATATTAATTTTTCGTTAGCTGTTAAGACATATGTAGCAATAAAAGATTAAAATAAAACAGCTACTATTGTTTTTTTTTGTTCTCAGAAAATTCGAATACAGTGTGTGAATTTACCGACTGCTCTGGCACACTTCTCCCATATCCGTTACTTAACCCGTACCCTTCTCTATATAGGCCCATTTAGACCCGCCGCGATGGATGTCTGGCAAACTGTATTTAGGAGAAATTTTAAAGTTGGACAGTTTTGCCAGATATCGATCGCGGCGGTTCCCGGTTGGACACCCTGTATGCATATCGACTAATTATTAATTAATTGAATTATGGAGAAAACGTTTGCGTTCGAGATCAATAGGAAACACTTTATAAATGTTTGTAGGACGTGCCCACCATAGCGGAAACAAACACACATACCGAAAAACTCGCAGAACGTTCGAGATTGATTTCCAAACATTTGCGTCACAAGAGCTAGGAGTTAGCTGAGTCAACTAAATACACGATAGCAAAAGTTTGGTGCTTAATTTTTTAAAAATGTAGTTAAAAAATATCAGTTTTTTTAGCTCAAAGTGTACAGTTCTGCGAATTTTTTACAAAAAGGTACCGTGGGAAACGTTTTTTAGAGTTGTTATCGGAGTGTAATTTTTGATCACAATCTTCGGTCTTGATATAACAGATGGCTCTTTAGATCCTGAGGTAATGAAACACTCATCACTTTTTCCTCCAGCTGAGCTTCTTCTATATTTGATCTTATCACATCTCGACACAGATTCATCAGTGAAAGAGGTTCAGCTGAAACAAACAGAAGGATTATGTGTTTTCATAAATTCTTTAAAAATAAATGGAAAAACTGTTTTGATGTAATAATTACATACATATGTAAAGAGCTAAAAACTGAAAGGAAATTTTGTTTTTGATAAAAACAATGTTGAGATGATGAAATATCGCTGAATTTATTAGAAGCGCTAACTCAAGAGATTTTCAACTTTCGCAAAGTTAGTCAGAGAATAATTTCTGGTTTTCACAAAAGATATAAGCTAATATGGGTCGCCAAGAAAGTTATTTAAGTTTACAGTTTCGGTTTAATTCGTTATTATTTCGTCTATGCATCATAATGTTCTCAAATATCGGGAACTTGAAAAGATCATTTTTGAGTTAAACTCTGAAACGCGAATTCCTGTCGACAACATAGTAAAATACTACGAAGTTGCATACGTCGATGTGACGATTAAAACTGGCCTAGTCATATTTTATATTGCAATTTCTTTGATTTCTGGCAAAGGCTATACTTTATCGTATACACCCTATTCCAATTAATGAACGAATAATGTAATTGAAAAACTTCTATTTATTAAAATCAATGGGTGAATCTTTTAATCTGGAAGAAAGTTGTCACAAAACCGTCCGTGTCCAGAAAAAATTATGCGTTCCAATGAACCCTGTGTATTAGAAACAATCAGTTTAACAAATCATTGTCCAATGATTCAATTAATTACGAAAATCCTCGGTCACTCAATTAGGTGATCATTCAATATTGATGATTTTAAAAATTGATAGAAGAAATTGAATTTTTACAAATAAAAGAATTACATTTTGAAAACACTCGAGAAAACTTAAAACATATTCGAAAACTACTCACTTACTCTCTCAAAAAGTTCAGTGTTGCCAATGGAAGCATTTCCTTAATTTTAATTTCAATATTACTTATGATAATGATTATATGTATTACAATATATTATTATTACCTACTATAGGAAGAAAATGCAAATGTAAAAAGGGACATAAATTTGAAAACCTTCGTAAATTAATCCTTATTTTCTCAGACTTAAGGAGAGATGAATTATTTGGCCAGTTATAGCGACTAGTCTTACAAAATACGCGTGCTATCGTTTCTGCTATGATCAGCATGATTTAACTCTAAAAGAAGCGACAGCAGGAACTAGCCTTCATTCAGTAATTAGATGTTTGGCCAGAAGTCAGAAGAATTGAGTCTCAAATAGTCTCTGTGTAAAGATAGTCACTTTAAGATATACGGTCTAAGCGTCATAAGTCATAGTTAACGTTCGGTTACAAGTAAAATATGTATTGTTTTTATATTCTTAACCTACCTGCGTCTCAGTCAAAGTGTGAAGTAATTTTTTTTTATCCTTTTATTCATCAGATATAAAATTGACACAAACCTCAAAAACCAATTCACAATTAAAACATGTTGTATAAAAACTATAATTTATAAAGCGTTAAAACATTCATCAATTCTTGAAGGAAAAAATGCTTTCTTTTGGGAGAGCAAAACATTTGAAAAACTTACCTCATAATTGGTAAACATTACGTTCTTTTAGCTCTCTGCCTTCTTGAAACCTTAAAGTGGTTTGAATTATTTTCTACATTTGCGATAATGGTATGTATGTATTGACATAAGCGGAAATAGTTTTAATTTTTCACTAATGTACTGGGTGTTCTATACTTATGGCTTTATTAGGGTTTGGTAAATGTTGCTAAGGTTGTCGGTATCTGATCTCAAATTTACTGCTTGTGCATGTTTAGTATTTGTTTAATTTCTTTGATTCTTCTTTTATGGTAATTTGTTTCCCTAACTAATATGTCTGCGTTGTTAGAATCAAAAGTATGTAACATTTGGTGTGTATGTTGTGTTATTAACTATCTCGGAAACAAAAGCTTGTTGGGACATCGACTTAGAATGCATTTTTTGTGCAAAATTAATAGGCGATTAGACCCAACCATTTTAGAAGTCAGAATACCGGGTGACCAAAAAGTTAAAACAATTTTTTTGCCCAGATATCGCCTTCCGTTGCTTTTTCTACAAGTTGGTCAAACTCTGATGGCAGATTTCGATTTCTTATGCTCAAAAACCCCTGTATACCAAATTTCGTTAAAATATGCAGCTCCGTTCGAAGTAGAATAACGAAAACCTGAAATTAAAATATATGTTTGACGCCCTGTATGTCGACAACCGTCAACTTTTGGACTAAAGTAAGTTGTGTTAAATCATCATATTTTCACCCCAGGAATCCGCCATTTTGTTTTGTGCTATTACTTTTGAGACATCCTGTATAGAGTTAATTGTTTAGAATGTGATAATACATATATAGGACAAACTAAGCAATATTTAAAAAAGAGAATGTACGAACATAAATACAGTCTGAGAAATACTAGTGAAAGTAAAACAACATTAACGCAACATGCTTAGGGAAGCAAATTACCATAAAAGAAGAATCCAAGAAATGATAGAAATAAAAAACATGCGAAAGCAGTAAATTTCAGATCAGATACCGACAACCTTAGCAGCATTTACCGAACTCTAATAAAGCCATAAGTATAGGACACCCCGTACACGAGTGAAAAATTAAAACTATTTCGACTTATCTGAATACATACATACCATTCTCACAAATGTAGAAAATAATTGAAACAGATTTAAGGTTTCAAGTGGGCAAAGACCTAACATAATGTAATGTTTACCAACTATGAGGTAAGTTTTTTAAATGTTTTGCTCTCCCAAAAGGAAGGATTTTCCCTCAAGAACTGATGAATGTTTTAACGCTTTATAAAATATAGTTTTATACATGTTTTAATTGTGAATTGGTGTTTATAGTTTGTGTAAACTTTAAATTAATGATGGCGCTGTTGTCTCGCCGAAACGTGGTGAAATGAACGACATTCAAAAATTTTCACACTTTGACTGAGATCCAGAAAGGATAAGAATATAATAACAATTACACGCAGTCTGGAAAATACATCAAGATATGTATTGGTTGTATTAATTTGGAAATAAATTGTTTTTAGAAAGCAAACTTTCAAATTAATCAATAAAATTCTTCTGATTTGTTGTCATTTATGCTGTTAAAATTTTGTTATATAAAAAGTAGGGTTTTTATATTTAAGTGTGTGTAATCCCAGTAATCAATGGGTAAGAAATTTAACATCTGTTGAAATAAAATATTTATTGCATAGTCTATCTTCAAAGGGCATGAATTACAAATATGAATTGGCACAAACATGATTCGTGTATCAAATAATGAATTTAAAAATGGGATAATAATTAAAAAAAGAGAAGTTTCCTATGATATCACGAGTTTGCCTTACTTCTGAATACAAAGTTTTATATAATTTAATATGTATATTTTGTTTCAATCCTTTAGGATGTGGCACATCGTTTTAAGTGGTATCCTACTTTGTTGCTTTTAGTCCAGAGGTTTTCGAATAATCACGCTCCAAAGTCGCAGAAATAATTAAACTTGCCTGCATTCAAGTTATTTTTTACACCAAAAATTATTGCATTGGGTCTCCTTATAGTACAAATGCTTAGAAAAAGATTCAAGTAGTTGAATAAAAGGAAGAAGATCCTAGTTTAGAAAATTGATTTCTTATTTATTGATTATTTTACTTCAAGAAAAACAACTTTTTCTTTGCGAAGAGAAATTTCTACAATAAAACCCATTTTCCTGCAAGCAATAGCAAAGTATGTTTTCGAACTCCTCTTTAACACTTCTGAAAATTTCGGTAAATGACCGGCATTCCGCTGCAATTCGCCTTTTAAGGCCATAATTATCAGCAAGTTGTTTTATAATCAATGACTTTAAGATGTCCCCAAAGTCCGAATAGCTGTTTTAGCTATGAAAGTTCGTTTTCTCTACACGAAAATGTTGTAAAATAAAATTGTCCCCGCATATTTTTCGAGAAGAACATACACAATATCCTCAAAAAGTTAATGTTTGGTCTGGTATTCTTGGAAATGGCATTATTGGTTCTTTATTTATTGAAGAAAGCTTGACAGGTGATCTGTACCTTAATATGCTTCAAGAGACTATTTCCTCTTATCACCCATGAGCTGGAAACTCAAATTAATGCAAAGCGTAATTCAGTTTTACAGAGGGATTTGTTAACATTCCATCATCAATGAGGTGGAGCACCGGCTCCACCTCATTATTTTTATACGGTCCAACAGCGGTTAAACGAAAAATTCTCCGATAGATCGGCAGAAGGAGACCAATTGAATGGCCTCCAAGATCACCAGATCTAATACCCTTAGACTTCTTCAATCCGTGGTTTATAAAACACAACCTGCTGATATTGATGATTTTAAAAGGCGAATGGCAGCAGATTGCTAGTCAATTACCGGTAAAGTTTTCCGAAATGTTAGAGAGGAGTTCGAAACCTTTATTCGAGACTTCATTATTGTTTAAAGGAAAATGGACAACATTTTGAACAACTTATACGATAGTCCGTAAGTAGATCGCATGGGTTTTATTGTAGAAAGTTATCTTCCGAAAAAAAAAATATTTTTGTTGAAGTAAAATAATCAATAAATAATAAATCAATTGTTTAAACTGGATTTTCTTCCTCTTATTCAACGACTTGAATCATTTTCTAATCATTTGTACTATAAGGAGAACAAATGCAATGAGTTTTGTGTAAACACTAACCTGAAAACGAAAATCTAAATGCAGGCAAGTTTAATTGTTTCTGCAACATTGAAACGCGATTATTCGGAAACCTCTGAACTAAAAGCAACAAAGTAAAATATCACTTGAGAGAATTGAACAGAAGAACACAAGAGAATTGAACGCACTTTAAAACGATGTGCCAACTGACCCCCATTTCCATTTAAGTCTCTAATGGTTGATATTTACCCCTCCTAAGGGTTGAAATAAGAAAGTTAAAAATATTCGTTTAAAGTATCCGCGTTCAAATTAAATTGGTGTATTTCCAATTTTTCATATTTTTAACTGCAAGAAAGATATTAAGGGTGGGAAGTTTTCAAATTGACACCCGGTATTTAGTCATACTGCACGGGCTTATGGCTTCACGCACCCCGGCTTAGCACTATTGAATTAGCATTTATTCAGAAGTTTACAAACCTTCTTAAATGGCAAAACTTGTATTAATAACGATGACCGCAAATCGCATTTGGTTGAGTTTTTCGCTTTAAGACAGAGAAATTCTGTGAGCCATGAATCATGAAGTTACCAGAAAGATGGCAAAACGAAATCGAACAGAATGAAAGATATTTGACTGATAATTTTTTTTTGTATAGGAATAAATTAGATTTATTTCACACTTAAAACCCCAAATTGCTTTCTTGCTAACTCAATATTTTAAATGCTATACAAGTGAAAATACTTACGCTCCAACCCTCCAATATATCTCATTGAAATTTCGCAATTTGCCCACACTGTGCTGACAATAGGATACAACTTCTTGCCCTTTAGGCCTCTAAATGCAGGTCCCAGGGACTGACCGTTGACCACGAAACTTAAAGTGCCCTCGTCCATGTCTAAGACAACCAAGAATTTGTCTGGCACCATGAAGGTTTCGTCCGGGTTTAACCACGCAGGATATAACGGCCCAGAGAAGTTTCTTGAATCGTGGTAGAGTTTATTACGTCCTAGATCCCATCCCCAGGAGTTATCGGTACTGCCTACTAAACTATGATATCCTACAGAGTGAAGAGGGGCGTCTGCTGTTGCCACCCCCACCACTGCGTCGCTACCTCGTTGAAGCATAGGCCAACATATCTCCCAACAGTGCATACCCTAAAACGAAACAAAAACTTATTAGCTGATGTAAAGCCTCCCAAAAATTGAAAAAATTACCTTCGTAAATGCTACTTTGCCTCTAATGCAATCGGTGCTATTTACTACATGATTTCTGCGGAACGTTAACTTATCATCTTCCTTGACGAATACGTTGGGAGAGCAATCGCTATTATTCCAACTGAATTGTAATTGCATTTCCCTCGATGCAGTTGGCATATTTAACAATTTATGCAACCGTGGATGCCCGGCAAAGGTGGGTGCGAGATCTCTATAAATTACTGCTTGGTATGGGGCGGCTGAGTCGATTCCCGCGTCAACTCTGTTGCAACGGACCTAAAATTGAAAAAAAATATATCTTTTAATTTGCCCCAGAATATAGGGTGATTCAAAATTGCCGTCAATCCTCTGGAGGTGTTTTGAAAGCACAGGAAAATTAGTTGGTAAAAATATTTATTGTTATTAAAAACTGAGATATAATTGTATGACCATTTATGGTGACCTATATTTTATATATCCATATGTGATGCCGAATATAGAAACGCATGTTCAGCAGTAGACTAATCGTATAAATAGGATGCCCGTGGAAATTGTAGTCGTTAAGTATTGTCCATCCTGGGTATTTTTTTTATGAAAGATCTGGGAATTTTACGTTTTTTTACGACTGCACGAAATAAATTGAACAATTTCTTGATAAAAAAAATAATCTGAATTTAAGTCTCAATATCAATATATAAATTACACAAATATTTYATAAGAAATAACGAAGTGCGCTTTGTGACAAATCATCTACGACTTATGTAATTTAGGAGTCAGTGAGCTATTTRCGATTTTCAGTTTTTTTTTGTTGATGCAATTTCGKCTTTTTTTTGACTATATTTAAGTAGTTGTATGTCAATTTTGACCACATATTTGGATTTTTTGGGCCGATCTGAATCTAATGAGTCAGTCATTTCGGATTATGTTAACAAGCTAAACATTGTATTTGCATTCAAAATAATTATCCACGGTCGATCTTACAACCATAAATGTCCTCAACTACTTTATTTACGTCGCACTTGTTTTCTCACCCATGAAAGGGCTGTTAAGAAACTCCACTATGAATAACATAACAAACCCCACTCAAGTACTCATATTTCCAAACGCCATACGTTGACCTGTCGACATCCCGTCTTATCACGTAATCGAGCTAAGGCTTATTTTAGAAATAAGTTATAATTTAAGTCCGATCACCGTCTAGCTCTGAACTAGAATTCATATTATAAAATTGTATTTTCGATACTTAAATTCAAAAAAACAGAATTTTAAGTTCTTGCTTCATTTTATTTGAACCTGTACAGCTTCAGACGTGATCAATTAGCAAAAAATGTGTGTCAGAAGTCGTCCATTACATTAGCTTAGAATGAATACCATGATAATGTGTGATTTTTCCAAAATAAAATTGATAGAGTGCACTTAGTGAGAATGTAAATATAACTTTCTGGTTCTTACCATCTGACCCATGCTCCTACGTGTTGGAGTCGTCTTTACAATGCCAAACCCCAGACCGATAGCGGCCCAGACTACGCGACCAGGCCGCCTGTAGGGTTTGTAATGGTTAGCGCTCAAACCCGCACCGTTTTCATGTCTGAAATCAAACAAACCCATTATTAAACGATGTCTTTTACTCCAAAAACTAACTACAATCCAGTCAGTGTACATTTGAGCAATCCAAACCAAAAAAATCATGTTTGCTAGAAAATTGCTTAAGTCTTTGTTAATAATTTTACGAGTTTTCGTAATTTGCTGTCTGACTCATTTTGTATTCCTGTTTTTATGCGAGTTCTTATACAGGTGGGCAAACGAAAAGGTCGCACCCGGTGGCGGCGCTAGGGGTGGGCGAGGTTGGGCGAATCCCCAACCAAAATTTGTCCGCACAACCATTCGTCCAACCACTTTTAATAGCGATATAAATAATTGCGAAATAAAAAATTAGAAATAAAATTTGACAATAATGATAGTGAATGTGGAAATATTCCGAGTTGTTCGGTTTTAAGTACTTAATATTAATAAATTATTTTCTAAACAAATTATGAGTACTTTTTATTCTGCTAGAACAAGAGCCCAATATTCTGATCAAGAGGAAAAAGTAGTCATTGATTTGGATCTATAGCTACATGGACTTACAAGACAGTCGCGTTTTAGCAAGTTTTTGTGAAAAACAGGAGGATTGTGATCTTCGTGATTTTAAGTCAAGTTATTATATCATGTATCCATCTTTGAGAATGCAGTACTTACATTCTCAAAGATGCGGTTTTCCGTTTTCCCTTGTAGATTTTTTTCAAACAAGGTGGAACCAGCAATTTTAGTTTTGTTTCTGAAGGATACAAAAAATAATGAAAATCAAATATAGCTTGTTACAAAGAATTAAGAGCTATATACACCATTCGTTCTGTGGAAAACAATAGTTTTTTGTTGCTATTTTAAGTTCTTTCCAGAATGTTTTTAGAACTGTTAGAGTACATGGGTTTACAAAATGTGTAGCCAGTTGCTAGTTGCAGAAGCTGTTATTGTTTAGTGTCCTTGAAATAATTTGTACTTTAAGTATAAAATATGATTTTTTGTATACCTAGATTTAATTTAATTTAATTAAGCCAGTGTCATAGATAATACATAGTACATAGTAATTACATGTCTATGCTTGTCCTCAGGATACCCAAACAGAACAAACATCCTATAGAAGTAGTCATCTACTTGTACATAGGGACCGTTATACAATAATAACTACTTAAAACTACTTAAATCTAACCGTCCAAGATCCAAATCCCGGCTGAGAAAAAAAGAACAAGACGAAACAACGAAGAACAGTTAACCAGTATTTCCAATACATCTTCATGCGATATTATGTTAAGTATTAATATAAGTTATTATGATATTATGGCAATATTAATTGATTTTAGATTTGGATTCTTATTTGAGAGAGAGTTATATATCTGTATTCCCTTGATATAGTTTGTTTTTATTGCTTACAGTTTTGGAACGTTTAGGTTGAGTTATAAGTTTATTTCTAGTTCTACTACTAGTTTCATATAAACCTTTTGGTTCATCATAATGATAAATTAAGAATTCATACATTAAGAATTCATACGAATATTTGAATTAGATTTAGAGGCTTGTCACTTACAAAACTGTTTTTATTCACAATTTTTAGTATTCTCTTCTGTATCTTCTGTAAAGGGTTAAGATTACTTTTATATGCACCACCCCAAGCAATATTTCCACAGCTAATAATACTACGAAAAAATGTATAATATATTATTTTAAGTGTATTCGATCGCAAACATTTTCATAATTTATATAGGATATATATAAAATATTTAGTTTTTTAATACATGTTCAATATGTTTATCCCACTTTAGATTAAAGTAAAAAACTATTCCTAAATATTTGCAATGTTCCACCCTACTCAGCCTAATACCCTGTATGCTAATGCTCATATCACTAGGTACACTATCACAATAATTTCCGAATTCCGGGAAATTGAGAGAGATGAAAAGATGAAATCGGGAAGAACGGGAAAACTTGTTGAAAACTAAAAATTGCTCCCTGTTGACCCTATTCTTACTTTTTGTTTTCTGTTACTTAGGTATCTAATTATGATGTTATGTGCATTTCCTCTTATACCGTAGTTATACATTTTATCTAATAATATTTTATGGTCAACAGTAACAAACGCTTTTGCTAAATCTAGAAAGGTGATATCTATTAGTTTACTTTTTTAGTTCAATCAATCAAGTTTATGGTACAGTAAATTACTTATACGGCTCAAGGCTCCTTTGGTACCCTTCTTTTTTATAAAACTGTATTGATATTCGCAAGTAAATTATTTTTGTCAAAGAAATATTGCTATCAACACAAACAATATTTTCTAGTATTTTAGCCAAATTACTAATTACCGATATTGGTCTATAGTTTGATGTTTCCATCTTACTACCTGATTTAAAAATAGGGATTATCACTGCTGTTTTGGGAGCTTCAGGCCACACCGACTTCTCTATATAAAGATTATAAATATGAGTAAGTGCATTTACTATATGATACGATCACTTTTAATGTCTTAGTGCAAATATTCAGGTTTCAGATAATATTGTCAATCCTACTTTTTTTTTTATATTCCTTATAATTTTAATACTTTCTCATTGCTCCCATCCAACTAGAATTAATAAATATGGAGTTTTCATTCATTGGTTGTAGGATTAACTGTTTACCATGCGGCTTTACAATTTTATCACTTAACACTAACACACTACACCAACTTTAGAGAAAAATGAATGAAAATGATTTGCAATTCGATTGGGATCCTCTATTATATTATTTTTGCTTGCGGCTATACGCTGCACAGAACCATTGCACATTACCCTGGGTGTCAGAACCCATTTTATCTTTAATATATTTTCCTAAT